CCCAGCCGCTGCCCTCTCCCGCAGGCACCACCACAGCCGCCGGCCTCTCGTGCTGGAAACACTGCGGGTCCCGCTGGTTCCTCTGCTCCTGGCCACCCCACGGCCCCCCCGGCAACACCTCCTACCTCCTGACGCTCTGGTGAGTCGGCACACGTGGGGACACACGGGGACACGTGGGCGCACAGGGGGATGTGTGCCTGCTCCCTCCCAAACCCACCAGAGGGCAAGTGCTGCCCCGTCCAAACCCGACCTCGCGCCTGCTCCCCCCGCAGCTACACGACGCCCCGGCTGTGCCGGCGGTTCGAGGCGGGCGCCAGGACCACGTACACCCTGAAGCATCACCACGTCTACGTCCTCACCAACACCACGGCCTGGGTGGAGGCACGATGGGGGCACCACGTCCACAGGACCCCCAACCTCACGCTCTACCTCAATGAGGCCGGTAAGCACCGGTGGGGCTGGGCTGGGCACCAGCATCGGTGCCGGTAACCTCGAGACCACCCCGTCTTTACAGTCAAGCCGGATCCGCCCCCCCCCGGGATGCCCTTCACCAAGAGCAGTGGCCAGCTGCAGCTGCAGGTGCCGTGGCTACTGTGCCGCCGCGGGAGCCAGCCACCGCAGCGGGAGGCTCGCTTTCGGAGGATGGGCAACCACAGCTGGATGCAGGTAAAAATGTCATTTTTCGGGGCTGGCGGTGACCGATGGGACAGTCAGTAGCGTCGTGGCAGCCCAGGCAGCCTGAGGAGCGCGGGGGGCTCGGCGATGCCACCGTCCCCCCAACACATCCATGTCCCATCTGGTTGGTGGCGTTATCGGCTCTGCCCCGTCCTCCCGGCCACAGGATCCTGCTGCTGCCCGTAACAGGATCAGGCCGTGATTCGCAGGGATTACACAGGCAAAACCCCGGATTATACTAATGACGATGACGGGTGAAGTCCGGATGCTTGTTCCCAGCGAAACCCCCGCAGCCAGGGACGCCCCACGCCTCTCGATTGCTGCCGGGGGGTCCCAGGGCAGAGGGGACCCTCCTGGCTGCCACTTCCCCTGCCCCCCATTTGGTTCTCCCAGCCCCTGGGTTGTTCAGGGGACACAGGGCAGCATCTTTTTTCATGTCCCAGTAACATAGTGGTTTTACTGGGTGGGTGCCTCTGTCCCTGGTTGTCTCTGCAGGTGATGTGCGAGACGGTGACCGATGAGGATGACTCAGGTCGGTTTAGCCTTTGGGAACGCGGGGGACAAGCATCTCCCAGGGGTGCCCCCAGGTCCCTGCAGGGAGACTCTGCCTTGTGCTCCCCCCTGGCCCCCTGCGATGGCCAAAAAACTGGAGGAAAAGTGGGGGGGTCACCCCCCACCTGACCCTGCAACCCTCCTCTAGTGACCTGTGCCCTGGAGGGGGACGGTGCCTTCGAGGTCCAACTCCGGCACAAGCCCCCCCACTGGAGCAGCTACTGGAGCGACTGGAGCAGCTCCATCTTTGTTCCTGAGGGTGAGGAAGAGGAGAGGAGACAGGTGGGATCCCAATGGCTCCCCAAAACACTGACAGCCCAGCCGGGCTCATTCCTCTTGCAGAAATCCTGGTGAGCCCGGCGCTGAGCTACCAGCTGGGAAAACTGGGGCGAGATGGGCAGCGGGTGCTGAGGCTGGGCTGGCAGGTACGGCGGCATCCCCAGAACCCCCCTGCGTGTGTGTGTGTGTGTGTCCCCCTCCCATTTCACCCCCCTCTCCCTCCCGCAGCAAGCCCCTGAGGAGCAAGGGGACGTCACCTACACGCTGCGCGCCCACATGCCGGCGTGTCGCTGTGCCGAGCCGGCCGAGGAGGACACGGTGGTGCTGGGGAGGGAGGTGACAGGGCACAACCTCACCCTTTCCGGAGCTGAGTACGAAATCCTGCTGACGGCGGCCAACGCCGCCGGGACGGGGCCGGCACAGCAGCTCCGTGTGCCGGCAGAGCAGCACGCAGGTACCTGCCCTGCGGAAGGCCCGAGCTCCCCGGGAGTTATTTTCTCAGCCATCCCTCACACCCCCTGTTTCATCCCAGAGTTTGGCTTCAAAGATGTCAGCGTGGCCAGTGGCACCGTGACGGCGTGGTGGGAGGCACCGAGCCCTGGTTTCATTTACTGCTTCGAGCAGCAGCTGCTGCCAGGACCCCCAAAACAGGGCATTTGCATCCGACGGGATTTCCCTGCCAAGAGCATCCATGTGGAGAGAGGCAAGGGAGCGCCCCGAGCCCCCCGCCTGTCCCCGGCTCCTGGCAGGGCTTTAACCAGCACCCCCGGTTCCTGTTCCAGGAGCCCTGGAAGTGCCGGCGTGTTACCGCCTGGCTGTGCACGGCTGGGCCCCGGCACGGGGCTGGGCCACCTTCGCCCTGCGGCACCACTACACCAGCAACGGTATGTGTGGAAACACGCAGCGTCCGTGCCTGCTTTAACCGTAAAAAGAGAGGGGCTTCTGAAACAACCCCCCCCTCTTTTTTTGCACCCCACCACCATCCCATGCAGCCTCGCTGGCCGTGCCCATCAACATCAACGACAGCGCCGGAGATGCTGCCGTGGTCCTCTGGTGGAGCCCGTCCCCCCGCGCCGCCTGTCCTGGGGTGCTGGGCAACTACCTCGTCTGCCACGTGGCCGAGGGGGACAACGTGACTTGTGAGTGGGGCCCCCCCATCCCCATGGGGCAGGAGGAGGGCAACTGCTGGGCTCCTGACTGCTTGTTATCGTTTGCCCAGATGCTGAAGTGAATGCCACGGCAACGCACTACACCCTCCAGAACCTGCGGCCCGGCACAGCCTACAGGGTGGGCGTCTGGGAGGTGACAGCAGAGAGAGAGGGGACCTGTGGTGCTCGGTGGCATTTCCAGACCAAGGCGCTGGGTAATGGCTGGAGACTGTCCCCTCCCCAGTCCCTGTGGGGAGCTCACCCTCACCCTGAAATGGCTCCCGTGTCCCACCCGGGCTGCTGGGGGCAGAAATGCCACCACCCAGCCGTGCCTGTCCCCAGGTCCCCAGGGAGCAGCGTGGAAATCCAACCTGAAGTACTTGGGCATCGCGTTCAGTCTCCCCGCCGTGGCTGCCATCTACCAGATGGGCAAAAAGAGGTGACAGTGGCACCTTCCCCCTCACCTCCCCTTCATTACCCACCCCCTCACTGGTCACCCCCTTCCCCAGGGCTCGCCGCCTCCTCTTTCCACCCCTGCCCAAGCCCATGGGCAGCAAAGCCATCCAGTTCTCCACCAGCGAAACGACCCAGGTGAGATGCAAAGTGCAAGGAGGGGCCGGATTCTGCACCCCGGCAGGGTCCCGCGCACGGCCCTGCCACGGGATGCTCCCACCCCAAACACATCCGACCCTCAGGGCCAGCCCCGGCCGGGATTCCTGGAGCCCTCGGAGAGGTTCAGCCCGGCCGAGCTGCTGCTGCTGGACCTGGATCCCGGCAAGGAGCTGACCGAGGCCGGCACACGGCCTGGCACACCGCAGCCCGGCCCCGTGGCCAAAGAACCGGCGGTGATGTGCCCGCCAGGCTGCGAGAAGGAGCTGCCGTTCGCCTACCGCAGGCAGGAGGTGCTGAGCCCGGTGGGATTTCCACTGCCTGGCGAGGAGGAGGAGGAGGAGGAGGAGGAGGAGGAAGAGAAAGAAGAAGACAAAGAGGGGGGACGGCAGGGCCTGCGCCAGCCACTGGTCCCCATTGCCCTGCTCATCTCCGACAAACCCATCATCATCAGGGATGAGGAAGGATGGGACCCATCGCTGGAGAAGTCGGTGCTGTAGCCATCACCAGGCTGGGGCAGTGGGGACGGACAAGGTGGGGGGGTCCCATGGGATGCTGAGCACCCACCCGGGATGCTGAGCACCCACCCATGGGTCCATGGCCACAGAGGCACTTTCAGGGGGTTTTCTGGTTTCCAGGAGACAGAAGGAGATGCCTCCAGATGCAGCGTTGCACGGGGCCAGAATCGGGCCACGCACTTCCCAGCCTCAACTTTTCGTGGGTGATAAATAACAAGGGAAGGTGGTGGCAGAGCCCGGCTGGGGCTGAGGGTGGATCGGGGGGAGAGGCAGTGCTTCACCCCAGCTGGCTGCCTCCTGCCCTCCTGCCAGCATTTCCCCGGCAGGATGGGGGCACAAACAACCCCAGCTTCAAACATCGGCTACTGGCAACAAATAAAAAAAATCTGAAAAAAGTTTAAAAAGCGCCAAAATTTTAAAAAAATTTTAAAAAAAAGTGCAAAATAAAGAAATGTAAAAATTAAAAAAAAAAATAAATGCACGAAGCAGCAGGGCTGAGGTGGCTTCCCCTGCTTGACGTGGGCAGACAACAGCAAGGATTTAGAGCCGAGGGCAATCCCTGGTGCCGTGGAGGACGCAGCCAGGCAGCGGGGCCGGGACTGGGGGTGACCCAGGGCAGGCAGGGTCCCTCCCGCAGCACCCCCACATGGGGCCATGCCGCCGCCTCGGGCCTTATCTGGGGCAGAACTGGAGATGCTGCTGAAGATGAAGAGCGGTTTGTGGTTTTGTCTGCCCTGCGCGCAGGGACCAGAGGAGTCAGCGTTTACTTGCTGAGAGTGCGAAAAATAAAAAGGAAAAGAAAAACTAAAAAAAAAAAAAAAATGGGGTTAGTAGCACGGGGAAGTCCAGGGAAAGGCAGCACCAGCACAGCCGCGGTGCCTCTGCTGCAGCTGCCGGCGTACGGCTCGGCCTCCTCGCTGCTGCTTTGAGCCCTGGTTGTGTTTTGCAAGGGAATTCACCAAAAATACACTCGCGGCACCGGCACGCGCGGGCGGAAACCGCGCGGATGCCGACCGGAGATAACGCCCTGGGGAGCACGTGGCTGCGTTTCGGCCCGTGTGTCCCCCTCCCTGTCCTCGGTGCGACCTCCGCCAGCCGCGGGTGGGTCGGGGTTTATGGCTCTTCCCAGGGGATGGGGACGGCGGTGATGGTGTCATTCCCATGGAGGGGGGTCCCGGCTGGCTGCCTGCATGCCAGACACCCCCCCCTTGCCACTGTGCCCAACAGCCACCGTGCCCACCCATGTCCGGCACCGCACGTCCAGGGCGTCTCCGCTGCCGGTGAAGCCACGAGGTGGCACCAGCCCCGCGTCCCCACGGTGCTTCCCCACCTCCCAGCAGAACAAATCCATCCTTCCCTCCCGCCACGCTTCACCCCTGCGTGGCAGGCAGCCTCCACCCTGCCTGCCCAGCACCCCAAATCCCTGCGGATCGCCTGGAGGCCGGGGGTCTGGCATCCTCCCGGCACTAAAACCCAGCTGGAGAGATCAGATTTAGGGATTTTATTGGGATTTGGGCAATGCCGGGCTCGCCGGGGCGCATTGGGCCAGCCACGTGTGAAGGAAGTATTTGGTTACCGGCTGGGCGCGAGCGCGCACTCGGGTTTCAGCCCCGGCCCCCGTTTACAGCCCGTTTTTGGGGCCGGAGCGGTGGAGGCAGCGGCACCGGGGTCACGGCTCGCACGGTTGGGCAGCGGTGGTGAACACACTGCCCGGCCCGGGGCCAGCGCCGCGGCCGGTTAATCATTCCTGTTCACGGAACAAGTTCGTGCCGGGACAGTCAGTCCTCAGTGATATGTTAAAAACACCCTGGGGAGGGGGGGGGACGGATGGGAGACCCCCCCATGCCCCTGCAGGGTCACCCTTCGGGGATCCATCCCACCTGCGATGCCACCTGCGTCCCCCCCAGCGCCTTCAGGGACAGTCCCGTTGTCCCCACCAGCAGCCCCACGCATCCTTTCCCACATGTGTCCCGAGTTGGCCGGTGCTCTGCTGGGAACACAGAGCCCACGGGCAACGTGCCGGGGAAAACTAATTAAGCCAACCTTGCTAATTAGTGTGAGCGAGCAGCTCAGGGCTTTCTAATTAGTTGAAATTTCACAGGATTGTTTTCCAAATGAGTCTCCCGGAGCCGCTCTGAGCGCAGTGACCTGGGGACGGCCGCTGGGCTGCAGCAGGACGTGACCTTCCCCGCTCCTCCGGCCACAGCGGCCCCGCACACGCCTCAGGGCATCGGTGACACCTGGTGAGAGCCGCAGCCTGAGAACGGACAACTCGTTACACTGACCAGGGGGACTCCTAGCACAGCTCGGGGGTAAGCAGCAAAATGCCGTCGCAACAGGGGGGGGAAAAAAACAAAAAGTTCAGCCCGGCGCAGGGGGATGGCGGGAGCACGGCCGGACTGGGATCGATCCCCGAGCCGCGGGGTCCCCCCGACTTTGGGGCAGCCCCAGCCGTTTGCACCCCCGTACCCCAACACCTTTACAAGCTGCTAATTTAAGACCCCTCTGCCTTTTATTTTTAGAGGAGAACATCTGATTCTGTCCTGCGATGCCGTTTGATATTGCCTGATCTGCCGACTATTTCTGTACGGCTGTTTACATCCGCCGGCGCCAGCACTGCCCGATCGCCGGGGGTGAAGGTGCCGTTTGCCAGGGCTGAGCATCCCTGTCCTAAAAGGGGGGAAAAAACCTCCCCCTCTTCCCTCCCTATTCCCGCAGGGTCCCAGCAATGTGTCCCCAAAATGACACCGGGGACACGCAGGGGTGGATTGAGCCCGCGCCGCCTCCGCTTGCTCTCGCTCAGCGGAAAAATTCAGCTCCGCATCTTGGTGCAGCCTGCGGGAAGATGTTGGGAGCCTGGGGGCTCGCTCTGGGCTCCCTGATTTTTGCTGGAGGGGCAAGCTCAGGTCTGGCACCAGAGGAAAAACCATAAAATAACCAGAGGGGTTTGCTACGCCCCGTCAGCTCCTGGGGGGTCCTCTGAGCCCCTGGGGAAGGCGAGGCCCATCCCACAGGGTCTGCGCTGGGATTTTGCTCCCAGGTTGAGGAGTTGAACCTGTTTCCCAGCCTCGGGGAAACGCAGCCCAGCAAAGCACCCGCCTGGGTTTAGCCTGGGCTTAGCCTGGGCAGCGGTGAATGCTGCAGCCCTACAAGCCCTTCCCTTGTCTGTCCTTCTTGCAGCCCCTTCCCTTGTGGGTCTGTCCCTCCCCCAGCACCCTTTTTCTCCCTCCCTGAGCCCCAGCCCAGAGAAAAGCCGACGCCAGCGAGGTGCTTGAGCCCAGCCTGACCACGAGCCGTGGCGGGGAGGTGGATTATTTGCCGGGCAAAAAGCCACCACTGCCACCACCTACACAATGCCACCCGCTCCCGGGGGGATTAGGTGACCATTCAGGAGCTGCTTCGACTTAATCTCTAAGCAAACAAACTGATCCCTTGGGATTTTATTTTTTTTTTTTAATTAGTCTTTAAGCAGAATTCAAGGGCTTGCATTTTACCCAGATGGCTCATCCACCACCCCCACCAGCACGCAAGCCCCCTGTAGCCCGGGTGCCCGACAGATTTTCAGGGTAAAAAAACCTCTGCAACTGGGGAATTTTTGCTTTTCTTCCCTGGGAAAAGCTTTTGGGCTTCTTTCCCCTCAAAAAAAAAAAAAAACAACAAACCCAGCATTGCTGGCACAGGCATCCCAGCTATGCCCATGTAGTGGGAAAGGGGCTGCAGGGGCCGCAGCTGGACAGACGGACGCCGACCACAGCTGGGCTCAGCTTGTTTTGAATGTCACGGGTATTTCAGCGCCGGCGTTTCGCAACAGTACAGTATCACAACAACAACAACAACTGCAGTTTTACTTTGCAAACAGGGCCTGTGGCCGCCCAGCACCCCCGGCTCTTTTCCTGCTCACGTCAGGCTGAGCTCGCCTGCTGCAACAGCTTCACCAGGGCGAGAGTTATTTCCAAACCCGAGAATGGAAAATGACTTGAAGCAGCAGCAAAACTGAATATTTAATTTTTTTTTTTTTTTTCCCCCACTGAGAGGGGCTCGTTGCTGCCCCATCCCCTGTGGGGCTGCGCTGGATGTAAAAATCCCACCGGGATGCTGCGTGCCCCAGCATGCAAGCTGGGAGAAGTGGTTAGAAACCATCTTCTCCCTCTGCCACATGAGAAACACCCGGGCGATGGCAGGAAATATTTTCTTTCTGCAGTTTTAATGTTTTCAGATGGTCGCTCCCAGGGCCAGCAGCCCCGGGGCAGCTCAGCCTCTGGCACAGCTGAAGCTTTCCAGGCTTTGGCAGCAGCCTGGTGGGGCAAAGCCACAGCTATTGAATTTTTTTTTTTTTTTTTGTTACCAAAACTTTATAATAATAATAATAAATCATAAAACAAGGACCTTGGGAGCCAGGCGGCTGCCTCCATGTGCTTCCCTGGCTATCGGGTGATCTGGAAGGAAAGGACGCGGCGCCCTTATCGACACACACATTCCCCTGCCCGCTTGGCAGCGGAGCCGTCGGGAGGTTTGCGGCGTAAACATATTTTGCTCAAGTGGGCGGCCGGGGTTGAGCTAAGGATAGCTGGCTGGGGAGGACCTAGAGAAACCCCCCCCCGAAAGCTCATTTTTGCAACAAAACCCCCATCCGTGCATGCAGGGAAAAGGGGCTGATCCAGGAGCACGCAACCAGCTGAGTTTTGCAGGGATAAATACAGGACCAAGAGCAACCCCCTCCCTCCCCGGATCGGTTCTCCCAGTGTTTACCAGCCCTTTGCAAGCAGATTGACTCTCCCTCATTTTTTCACACACAAAAACCATGGGGAAAGCGGAGCAAACCGGCTCGGGGCCCCCCGGGACTGTCCGCAGCCGCCCTCCCCGCCGGCGCTGCCCGCCACAGCCACCTCCAACCAGCTGGGCCCCCCCCCAGCTATCGCTCCCGGCATCGCTGGCCCGGGATGTGGTGGCATTTACACAGCTGCTCAGCATGAAAAGCTCTCTCCCTGCTCCACATAAACCCTCGCATTTAAAAGTAATTGGGTGCAGGCTTGCTAATGAGGTCAGTAAATGGGGAGGAGGGTGCAGCACCCCTGGCCCAGGGAGGGGGGGGTGAATTGCAAGCTCCTTGGTGGTGCAGGAGCGCCCCTGCAAAGTTGGCTCAGACCATTTTTCTCCCCCAAACTGGCCTTGGCCCAAGGTTATTTTGCTGAAAGCAGCTCGAAATTGCTGCTTCTTGCAGGGTGGGGGTGGGGAAAGGGGAAGAAAAAGTGGTGCACACCCCTGGGTTTGGAGACTTCGAGACTGGGGAGTGAGAGGAGGGATTGGACTCGTGGGGTTTGCCAAGGGTGACCCGTCGCAGGAGCTGCCCTGGGAGCAGGGGGAGCAGTGGGGGTGACAGGCCCCCCGCTCCTCGCCTCTCAGCTAGGGACGGCTGCGTCCCCACCCGCAAGGCCGGCGGTGCCACTTGTGTCCTCCCTGGTGCCGAACGTCCCGTGCGAGCAAGGTTTTAGCTGCGGGGAGATGCGGTGGTCAGGGAGATGCCACCGTGCCATATCACCGGAGATGTGGCCCAGGACGGGCACCCTGCTCCGGACGGGGGTTTCGGCACGACTTGTGAAGCAGCACCCGGGTGTGATGGCGAACGTGGCCGGGCTGGGGAGCAAAGTCCCATCGTGCCACATCCCTGGCACGGGGCACAGCCGTGTCACCGCAGATCCCACAGCGTGGGAGCCATGCCACGGCCCCGGCTGGGCGAGCGCCGGCCCCGCGCACCCTGTTTGTGTGCCAACACATCACGCGCCACCGTCGGGTGGCTCTGCGGGGGGGAGGGTAGGGTTTTTTTTAGTGGTGGTGTTGTTTTGAACAAAGCCAAAATATTTGCGTCCCCGTGGGGACGGCTTTGGGTCGCTGAGCCTGGGATGCTGCGCTGGGGTCCCGGTGGGAGAGGGGACACCCGGCTCGTTGGGGACGGTCCCTGCTGGCACCCGGTGCCGGCGGCTCCATCCCCCCTCACAGCCCCCTCTGTTTATACATAGACATGTTTGTGCGCGGTGCCCAGCCCCTTCCTCGCTCCCAAACAACCGAATAAAAGTCAAAAAGTCATAAAAATTTTCCATTGCCCAAGGGAGGGAGCAGGGAGCACGTGAGGAGCCGGGCAGCTGCACAACAAGGGACCCCAAATGGGGGGGCTTCGGCCCCAGAAAAACAAGGGGTTGGGTTTGATGTAGTGACTAAAGGCAGCGGTTTGCTCCTTTTGCTCCTGGCAGCCTGCGGCAAACCCAGCACCGGTAGCACCCGCCGCCATCGGGGCCTGTGGGGTGTTGGCACGATGCTCCTGGGACACATGGCACGTGCAACGTCTTCAGACCCCGGTTTTTGGCATAAACCCACCCCGTTTTCTGCAGATTTTTCCCCTGCACCCAGAGGCGTTCGCTGCCTGCACCGGCCCAGCCGCTGCTCCAGGAAAAAAGCTGCGATTCCTGTCGAGCTGGCGGGGAAAGCCCCAGCGCAGGGATGCGGGGACTTTGCCTGTGGTTTTCGTGGGCGGGAGCGGCTCCTGCAAAGAGGCGGCTGAGTCAGCGAGCGGAGGGCGGCCGCGATGCCGCCCTGACATGTCGGGGTGCACGGCTGCTTCCCGGCAACCCGGGAGAGCTCTGCCAGCGCCGGGCAAAGGGGGTCCCCCGAGATGCTCCCGCGGCCAGGCTGTGCTGTTCGCAGCACCAGGGGTTGGAGCAAAAGTAAAGCAAGGCCCAGGGCTGCTGGGGACCATGTGCGTGTCCCCGAGGTGCTCAGGGACTCGCTGGCACATGCCATCCCATAACCCAGGGATGAGCAGGTCCCCGTGCTCCTGAGCCCCCATCAGTGCCGACTCGCTGCTCCCCGGGGGATGAGCCCAGCATCCCACCAGCCACAAAGATGCTGAATTTGGGCAGCGCATCGACCCCGTCCCCAGCACAGGGAACCCCCATTCGGGCAAACCCCAGATTTGTCATCACTGACCACCCCCCCCATTGCAAGCAGACCAGCCCCTGGTGTTTCGGGGTGAGCTGCACCCCGTGAGGCTCAGCCCAGCTGGGATGGGGGAAGGCAGGGATTGTTTTGGGAGCTGGATGGGTGCCCGGGCAGGGAGGCGGCAGCCGCGCAGCTAATCCCCGGCCCTCGCGAGGCTGCACCGGCGCCGGCACATTCTGTCCCTGTCAGCGCCGGGACAGCCGCGAGATTCACATGTCACCCACCCCGCGGCATGGCCGTGCTGGCCCCCGGCCACTGACCGTCTGCCAGAGGACAACAGCCTCAAGCCAGGGCCATGGCCGCCGTGCCGGGACTGAGCATCCTCCGGGGACAGGGAGAGCCGGGGGGGGGCCCCCTGACACGCTGCAGAAAGGGGCTGCAGGGCTGTGAGCCGCAGGGTGGGAGTCCCAGCACCCTGCAGAGCTGTGAGGGGGGGTCCTGGCCTCAGAGTGCCTTGGGCAGAGGGGTCCCACGTTTTTGGGACTGAAGGGCAAAAAGGAAAAGAGGAACAGATTTTGCTGGGTGGTCCAGGAAGCATTTTCCAACGCGCGGGGCCAAGAGCTAAAAATACTCCGGGCACTGTAATTGTGTAACACACCTCCTGCCCAGCATCGGGCCTCCGGGCCACCACCAGCATCACCGCGCAGGCCACGGGGCCATCCTGGCTCAGCAGCCCCCCGGGAAGCCCCCGCATGTCCCAACACCCCCCACCCCTTGGGCCAATAGAGGCGAACAGCCCCGGGCTGTACAACAAGGACTTTGGAGCGGTGAAGATAAACAGCAGAAGGTTGGAGGGAGCACCTGTGGTTGTGAAAGCGCTGCCCGGGGGGGCGTCCGCGCCTCTCCTCAGCTCCCAATATCCAGACGAGGTATTTTTAGTCCCTCTGGGATTCAGGATCGCAGCTTTTGGCTGGCAAAAGACCCAGACCGGCCGTGCCCCCCTCCCCGCCCCTCGCCTTGCTGAGCTACTGTCTGGCTTTACAAGAAAAACCTGGAGGCATTTACAAGAATTCCTGATGGAAAGATCCCTCCCACGTGGGGACCGGGAGCGGTGCCCGCCGGCGTTGGGTTCCCCAGCCTGGCATGGCCTGTCCCCATGGCTGTCCCCGTCACGGCGTGACGCGCTTTCCCAGAAAGGTGCAGTCAGACGGACGGGGGTGCTCGGCAGCTCTCCCCTGCCTCCGGCCGTGGGAATAAGCGTCCCCTTGTGCGGCCGGGGCAGATGATCGGGGTCTGATCCGCAGCCCCCGGCCATCTCTGCCGCGTGGCGTTTGCCGGCACAGAATGGCTCCCTTGTGCCCTGTCGCAGCGTGGCGGGGGGGTGGCTGATCACAGGATTTCCTTCAGAGGCATCTTTAAGCAGGGACGTTGCAGCGCTGCGGTTTGTGCCCTCTTTGATGTCACCAAAAAGCCCCAGCGTGGATGAACCGCGAGGCCACGCAGCACCGGCCGCTGCTGCCACGAGTGGCAGATCTGGGCACGCATCTCCCCGAGCGAAGATGCAAACAAATTCACTGCGAGGCCACTTAATCCTCTTCTGAGGAAGGTTACGTGGTGTAGCCAGGGTTGCCAAATAAAAATCAGCTTTATATAAAGGTTGCATGAGCACCAGGCTCTTGCAGGCAAACATGGGGATGAGTTATCTCGCTGGGCAGCTGCCAAGGGCCTGGCCCACCGTGGGAGCACATGCTCCAGCACAGCCGTGGCCCTGAGCAGCTCAGCAAACAACAGGAAAAAAAAAAAAA